TACAACTGGACGTTAAGCGACCAACAACCAATCAATCAACCAATCTGATTAAATGCCTTTAAATTTCCCATTTTATTCTAGCAACAATTTCAATACGCACAATAAGGATGTATCGTGCGCTCTTGGTGTAGCTGTTGATTGCAATAAATAGTAAACATGTTTGTCTGTAAACGTCAGTTTTGATTTTTACTATCATGACTTCGTCATGTTTCAAATAAAGAGATACATATTTGTAGTCTTGCTTGTAATAAGTCATCATATCGTAAAAACGTAACTACGTAGTAATTAACATCGAACAACAAGCACAGAGCCACAGAACATCATCGGAATGTCAATATTTCTGAACAGTTTTTGTTAAAGTGAGCATATCCAGAAATCAACGCCTCTTTGCTTATTTGAATATTATACTAAAGAAATCGGATACGGGTCACGGAAATTAAATTGAAATGATAGGGAATTTTGAAAAAAAATGTATGTTTTAACTTTAATTTAAGTGATAGACAGGTTGCGGGGACAGAAAATAAATATACACAACAATATACACCATTTAAACGAAACAAAATGACTGTCGTTGCAAAAATCAAGGTTCCTGAGCTTTTTAAAAATCGAAGTGAGAGGCTTTTAACATTGCAGTATAAAATACAGGCTAAAATGACTGAAACGTCAAATTTGCAAACTTCGTGTTGAAAATTGGCTAACAAGGTCATTAAAAAAACAGGTTGCGGGGATGAAACTGGAAACTTGAATGTCCAAACCTTGTATGTGTAGTCGTTGAACTCTAGGTTCCCACGTAAAGTTAAAATGCCCCTATTTCAAGAAGAATAAACTCACGAAAACACGAAAAATTCACTAAATTCGCGTTCCTTGTTTTGATTTTGACCGCCTGACAACTTTACGGAAATATCAGAGTGATAATAAACAAGCACTCTGTGACGGGCAAATTATAATATCCGTGTTTTAAAGGTTTTAATGATATCAAGCCAGTCCAGTTCAAACTATTATCACGTGGTACAATTCTCATTTACATATTATGAATATTAATTAGCAAAAGTACTACTAATTTCTGGCTATGGGTCATTTTTTGCTGTTTGTTTTTGTTACCTTGTGCCAGACCATAAGCATAAGATCTCTCTGGGCATCAACAGTGACTAAGTAATTCTTTGACGTTAGTATTTTCTGGTTGTTTATTGCATTCTGAACTTACTTTTTAATGTTTTTGCTCAAATTACCGATTTCATCATTTTGATACGTATGTCTGCTTTTTCCCGAGCAACATCGTATACTGTATCATTATTCATATTGTTAATTATGATATTAAGGGGGAAGACTCAATGTGCTGTGTTCTATGAAAAAATGTTAACGTCACATATTTTCCTAAAATGAGCTGTGAAGAATACTAGCTGGAGATGCAGATTACAAAATTTCATATTAATTTTTTTTTTCAGGTAAACGTAGGTTTTATTTAGGGGAATTCCATTTATATTAGGAAAAAGTCACAAGTTTATTTTTGTTCCTTATGTCCCTGTCTGCTAAACATGTATGAATTAAATGGAAAGAAAGGTTCATTTAATTATATATATGATATTATATTAGTTCAAAAAGGAGAGATTTCTTGGGTTTACTGAATATACTGTTTTCAAACGTGATAAGTTAAATCTCAAATGAATTCTTTTCAAATCTTACTCTTCAACGCCGTAATTTATTTGGCCTTTTTAACCTTTTTGATTGGAGCGTCACTGATGAGTCTTTTGTAGACGAATCGCGCGTCTGGCGTAAATTTTTTTAGAATAGTATCTATGATGTGTTTACTCACTATCATTTCTGTGTGGATTAATATAGCATCACCTAATCCTAGACCGTTTTTACATATTAAAGATCTACAAATTTACTTTGATATCGTTTTGAAATTAAATGATTTTTTATGAAATGGCACTTTTGATTCAATGACGAGACTTTCACCTGGTTTGCTTTGCCTAGTATAATGCGCGCCTGTCGATAACCTTTATATGTTCAGTCATTCCTGTACCAAGTCAGGAATATGACAGTTGTTGTCCATTCGTTTGATGTGTTTTGTCATTTGATTTTGCCATGTGATTAGGGACTTTCCGATTGAATTTTCCTCGGAGTTCAGTATTTTTGTGATTTTACTTTTTTTTTTGTGTTGAGACGGTTATTGTCTATAAAAGAGAGGCGAAAGATACCAGAGGAACATTCAAACTCATAAGTCGAAAATAAACTGACAACGATATGGTAAAATAGAAAAAGACCAACAGACAAACAATAGTACACAAAACACAACATAGAAAACTAAAGACTGAGCAACACGATCCCCACCAAAAACTAGGGGGTGATTTCAGGTGCTTTAGAAAATAATTATAATTCGAAACACTAAGGTTTTGTTTTTCCCTGAGCAAACAAGGCTTTATCCAGCTCAGCATAAAACGTTTAAATATTTGGGTTTCAATGGTCTTCAGCTTCGTATTTGATCCGGTGAATTGAGCGTAACTTATGAGTCTTGTATCTTTGATAAGTTTTCATAAATACTGGATCGATGCTTGATACTGCTTGTCGGATGTTTCCCCTATGGTCTCACCAGGACATTATCTAACAATCAAGTGTTGACATGAAATTTTATTTTCTGTTAACTAACTGTTTATAAAATGTAAAATTTAGTGCGCCAGAGTAACTTTTCGTCTACATCAGACTCATCAGTGGCGCTCTACTTAAATTAAAAAAGCTCAAAGGCAAAATCAAATACGAAATTTAAGAGCTTTTGCCAGATTTGACATTTTTTGGGACTTCTACATGATTTTATTCTAGGGATACTGGTGAATTTTATAACGTGCTTGTCGTGCACATGATTATAAACCTTGAATATTTGATGAGTTATCACCTTTGCTTTAAAATATTTTTATCTGAAATATCGAATACCTTAGTCAATCTGCTGGGATCCATCTTCAAATAACTGATGAATGCAGTTGAGAAACTATGCCAGAAGTTGGGTGAACCGCAAACATTACAAAACTAAACTAAATTGTTTTATCTGAATGGATTACATCACTTTGTAAAGTTGTGCAGTCAGAAGCTTTTTCACAAACTATGATATATCAATTTACTTGGGTTTATTACCTCTACCAGAAGCCGGAGAATGTGAATGATTTATCCTACCTACACGACAAATATATACTTGTTTTACTGGAGACAAACCCTTAAACGAGATTGTTTTTATCTGCAAAATGCTTATTTGGATTAACAAAACAACGTGGATTTCACAGCAAATCTGGTACTGCAACTTGTACATCGACAAAACTTACGAAAGATGAGATACTAGAAAAGCATAAATCTGTTCTCCGTTAATTTAATATTAACATAAAAAAGGAAGATGACAAGTCTTCCATCTTTTTACTATATAACTAAACTTAACACAAATCCGTTTATAACGATATAAAGCCAGCTTGTCTAGATGTTCAAAGATACACCTTTTTTTAATTCTTACTTCCATTCCTACCATGGTACAAGATGACATAATACAAATATTGCGATGCGGTAAACTCAACCAGCTTTGTCAATCAAGTGTTTCTATGTTGTGATGTTACACTATTGTTTCAGGTTAGGGTGAAGGTTGTCGCCTATTAAAACGTTTAAACAAGCTGCATTTGTTTGCACCTGTCCTAAGTCAGGAACCTAATGTTCAGTGGTTGTCGTTTGTTGATGTTGTTCATAAGTGTTTCTCGTTTTTTATAAAGATTAGACCGTTGGTTTTCCTGTTTGAATGGTTTTACACTTGTCATTTTTGGGGCCCTTTATAGCTTGCTGTTCGGTGTGAGCTAAGGCTCCGTGTTGAAGGCCGTACTTTGACCTAAATGTATAATGGTTTACTTTTACAAATTGTGACTTGGATGGAGAGTTGTCTCATTGGCATCCATACCACATCTTCTTATATCTATTGATTCTAAAACATTATGAATATCTACACAAAAATCTTCAATAACAATCGATGATATCAAATCCTTAGAATGTTCTGTCATTCGATAAACCTATATGTTGGTGAGTTCTTGCATTTCACATATCCCTTGGTTGGAACTTGAAATTACGGATACCGTATCTATATACCAAAACCACATTTTTGTCTTCTTCATATCTTGGTCATTTCATTGATATTGACACAGATGGACAACTTCAAATTAAAATCGGCGACAAACGTAATGATATCCAAGTAGTTCCAAATAACTTCGTCGTTTTAATCATATATTTTGTTTAATTAAAGGGAAAGTTAAATTATTGCGTTAAGGATAGATATATCATCGGACTATATCTTCCAACATTTAGAAAGAAAATCTAAATATGAAGAGGAACACTTCATTACTTGTCCCTTTTCGAAAAGATTTTTCTGTCATAATTTCAACATAAAAAAGCAAATTCATCAAATAAGAAAGTTCTCAGTAAAGTTTTCGAGACTGGTAGGAACATATTCGGACTCAATATTGCCTGTGTGGCAGTTAGTTTTCAAAAGGAAATTTGTTCTCAGGATATCACTCCAAGAGAAATTGTTTATGTAATTAGTAAATTTTGTATAACATCCAATACTAAACAGCTGTATCGTTTCCTTTTTTGGTTTTCTTTGATTTTTCTAGTTGTATCTTTATCATTTACTCGTTTAAATTCTGTATACTAAGTTATCAAATTTAGTTAAAAAATATAAATATAAACTAATCAAACAATCATAACATACATTATGTAATTTAGATAATTATTTCAAAGTAAAGATATATCCGAGTAATACTTTAAGAATATAATAAGTATAGAGAAAATAAAGAAAAACATATTCGCTTTTTAATTTCAAACATTTAGTCAATTTTACATATGCATGATTGATTGCTTTCGAATACTTTTGAATACATCCATTCTATACAAGTCGGAGCTTAAAATCGATTGTACCGCCATATTTAGATTTTCAAAAAACCAAAAGAGAAAGTAAATATTCTATTTCTTTTTAATTAAAAGTCTAAATTTAGGTTAAACATAATTTTCCGATAGATTTGCCGACGTTGGACTATATCAAGACTCTACAGGCAGTGGTTATATCTTTCTTTATGTTTAACAGAACAATTTTATAATTAGGATGTCTAACAGCAATCATACTGTGATAATAAGAAATCTTACGAAAAGTAGCAATACCAGTGATTCTTACTTGACAGATTCTATATATGATCTACTAAATACATACATGAAAATTTCTACTATTAGAAACTGTATACAAATAAAGACTGAAGACAATCAGAGGTCTGCTTTAATCCGTCTTAAATCTCCTACTGAAGTTTTCGATGCATTAGACAAATTAAAAGACAGACACAGAAGAAATTCGCTTGGCTTTAAGTTTCAGAGAATAGCAGATACAGGTGAGGCCATTGACGTTAAAATGGAGTTACCGGAGAGATACTATCAAAAAGGTCAAAACATAGGGAAGGAAACAAGAAAATATGAATTCAAAGTCGGTGGAGGAGATTATGTAAAACACATTTTGAGAGAAGATGTGTCTAAGTATATATGTGGGTTTTTAAACGGACGAACCAAAGGAACTCTGTTCATTGGTGTGAATGGTAGGTTTGTATAATAATTTTCATACGCGCCGCTTAAAATCATTGGAAATTACATTGATATATTTTATTGATTGAGTTTAGTTATGAAATGTCAAATGTTTTACGTAATTTGTTGTTACGACAACCAAACAAACATAATAAAGTCATTATTCACCAAAGCTTTTGTCCTCCGATCATTATTGTCGATCATTCTACATAAATGGGCTTTAATTTTCAAACTTTTATACTCGTTAAACTTTTAATTAAAAAAAAAGTCTTTATAACCGTGTTTCATATTTACCTCTTTTATTCGGTTCGGTATAATATTCAAAGCAATGAACTTTTTTACATTCAATATATATGAATGCAGAACAATGATTAAAGTATTACTTAAATGCCTGTAGGAAGGAAATATTCGGGAGAAATCGTTTTATGTGAAGATATGTTATTCAAATCTTTTACAAACAAAAATTTCTTGCATTACTATATAGGATGTTAATGAGACACTGATAGCTGCTATAAAATTATAATAACTTTTAATGATATTTATAAAATCTCTTTCGGTTTCAATTAAGCGCAACAGTAGTTAACTTACGATCAACCATCATGTTAAGTTTAAAAGAACAGATCAAAGTAACAAACACACTGAGGGAATTGCATGAACTCTAAAAGGGGGAGAGCGGGTGCGTCGACAGTGTAAGCGTCTCATGCTTTGCATGCATCACCCGTCATGCGAATCCACACTCAGTTAAAATGTCACAACTGTGAAAACATGTCGCTAATGAGTTGAGACACAGACATATCGTATCGGTCAACCGTTAATCTTACGTAATGTCGATTTCAGTAGTTGCTCCTCATAACTCTGTTGGATCCGTTTTTATATAAGGAGCACACCCCTGTGAATGAAGTCCATATAGTGTGAACATGCACGAGCGTGACGTATCTATTTAGATATGTAAACATCATACGATCGGAATGAGAGTTTGTTACTGCTGAAAATTTGAAAGTTGACAATTGGATAGATAAAATTATCACGTTTGATATAGATTCTAGTTTGAATATGTCCATCTGTGTCGATATCAGAGAAAAGATAAAAATATACAGCAGTCCTTCTAGTTTCGGTAGTAAACATAATCTAAATTTCACTGGGATAAATGAGATGAAAATATTCACCGAAGTGAGTGGCATGACAACATCAATATATCTAACAGAAAAAAATTAAGAAATTTTGCAAGTTTTTTTATCTTCTTGTCTTTGGGAAGGCTTTGTATGAATTCTGCTTCATATGAGTACAAAATGAAAACTGTCTAGTAGGGATGCACAATTAGTACCCATTGGAATATCGATTGTTTGTTGACATATCAATCTATCAAACTCAACACATATGTTGTCGATCAGAAAGTCCAACATCTTAATGATGTCGTCCTCGGTTTATTAGTTTTTGGAATCAGTGCGATTCATCACAAAGTAAGATTACTCATCACTTAAAACCAGAAATAGTATTTACTATTCCCATTTTTGTAGAAGAAGCTCTTTTTAATGAGCCGATGTCTTTGATATTCCAATTGAGCATGGTGAAAGTAGTGTGGAGTTATTGTTATAAACCAGCAATTGTCTTTTTTTTTAAAAAGCACTAGAAAGAAATCAGCTATTGCCTTTATTAATAAATATGAGAAAGAAACCAGCAGTTATCTTTTTCAATAAACATTAGGAAACAATTGACGGAATAGTCACATTATATGCAATTCAAATATTTAGTACTTCTTTTAATTTTTAATATTGTAATTTCTGTAGCCCAGAGAAGAACGTTGCTAATTGTAACAAATACTATTGTTTTCAATAGAAATGAATATCCCATTAGAAGGCTCATTGCATAAGGAAACGATGTTGATTAAATGCATTTTTCGTTCAACTAATGTGTGTGCGTGCTTTTACTCAGATGATGGAGATGTTGTTGGTGCTAATTGTGAGGACGAGGATAAAATTCGTTGCCACTATATCGACGAGGGCATTAGAGCAATAAAACCGCCGATAGATAATAAAGATTATCAAGTAGAGTTTATTCCTGTAGTCGAAAATGAAAAAGTAAAAGGTATTTTTTACATAAAAGTTCATTATTTATTTAGATTTTTGACATTACTCATTTATTTCTTTTTACATTTCGCATTGATTGCCTAATTCTAAGGGCCTATTATATTAAGAATATTCAAGGCTGCATCAAACAAGGTAATAGATTAATTAGGTAGTTTCTACAAAGAAGGTCAAGAAAAAAATGTCTTTCAAAATGATGGTGTTGGGCAATACATATACATGCATAAGTTATTCATATTTTCGAAATTTAATTTTGTTAATTATATCATCTACCTCTCTAAAGATACATCACTTTATACAGTAAAATGTTAAAGTCAGAACATTGCACAGAACAAATTAAAATATAACTGAGAGCAGAATAACAAAATGGCAGAAAACCAAATGCCCTTTTTTCCCCTGAAAATCCTGAAAAATGCAATTTTGAACCTTATTTGTAATACTTTTATTCTGTTAAGCGTGTATTTATGGAAATACTAGCATATGTAAATAAATTTATTTTTAGCTATTCATAAAGCTGTCTTTTCAAAGAGATTTGTCTATTTACAATAATGCATAGAACAAATTTAGTCTATACATACACAGAACTTTCTGATCATACGGAGTTATAAAATAAATGTATTCTATACATATACAGAACTTTCAGTTAATAAATACATTTATTTTGAAAGTACACCAAACTGTCTGTTAAGGATAATCCAAAGAGTATACTTTTTACAAACACAGTGCTTTTTTGGTCATAATAACTTTAAAAATATATTTATTTTGAAAGTACATCAAACTGTTTGTTTAGGATGTAACATAGAATAAATTTGTTCTTAAAACACAGTGCTGTTTGAGCATAATAATTTAGAAAACAAATTTATTTTGAAAGTATACTACTCTGTCTGTTAAGAATGGGATATGAAATTGATTTATTCCAAACTCACACTGCTTTCTGTGTCCTTCCATGCATTAACATTTGGTAAGCATCTTCAAGTCCTGAACATGAATGAAATATTTGCAAGTGGACGTAAAGCAACAAACAATCAATCAATCAAATCATCTTTAAATTTATTTGGCATTGAAATTTCCTGAAGATATTCTACTGTAAATAGTCAAATTTCTTTGAAAGGACAGCTCAAAATAAATTGATTTTAAAATGTAACAAATTAATATCAATAAAACAGTCAATTTCAAACAAAAAAAAGAAACACGCTTTACAGAATAAAATTATTACAAATAAGGTCCCAAATTGCATTTTTCATGATTTCCAGGAAAAAAGGAAATTTGTTTTTTTCTTTTTTTATTCCGCTCTAAGATATATGCATTTTTGAGCATTCTCTCCTATAATGTTTTTCTTTACAGCCAATTGTAACGTAATTGAAATCACGGTCAACAAGAAAAAACATCTCAATAGATTGTTTGACAGTAAAGGTCATGTTTATCTACGACGCGAAGGTAGTGTACGGGATTTTAATGCGGCTGAAACACAGGATTGGATATTACAGGTATACTATGATGTAAGCTATTAATAAAAGGCGATAAGAGTATGCGTCAAGGAGGCAGCAACACAAAGACAAAATAATTCACATCAAAACGTCAACATATGGTATTAAACAATACTTAAGACAAGAGTTGGTACAATACGGCTATGAAATCATGCCGTCGTACAATGTCATATTGGAAGAAAACGTGATCATGTGCAATACAAAGAACAAACCTATATAGAATTTCAAAGCAGAAAAATAAATATTTTAACATTGCTTCAAAATAAAAATAGCGCATTTAAACCATGCTCCCAATAAATACCAGACGCAATAATTTGATAAATGTAACAGTGTCCATCTTTGTTTTATATCGATAAGTGTTTTAATCAAAAATGAAAGAGTTAAAGAACAACTCCTTCTTTTGTTAGCGTAATAAATCAAATTACCGTTTAAAGCTGATTGTGAAATGCAACTTTTTATTTCCTACAGGACTGGTGGAGTTAGATTTCCATGCTAATAGTCAATATTTAATTGTGATCATATTTAGTAAATACTGTTTCTTTGTTCTTACTGTAAAAGTTTTAAGTAAAAAAAAAGTATTTCGTCGGTATCTGACACAGACCTGCAAATATATGCATTTCAAATCAAATGAGAGTAAGAGTCTTTTCGTCTGACATTTATCCAACAACGTTTGATCTGCAAATTTGCGGTATCAATTTTCGTCAAGCTGCATGGTAGCATACAGCATGCATACGACAGAGTATGTCTTCCTTGGATTAACAGATATTCAGAAGTATATTTTCATATTTGTGTGTTATATTATTAATTTATCTTATTAATAATATATCTTAAAAAACAATGCGCAATACTAGTATAGTTAAACAGCATGTATACCAATTCAGAACTATAACTAACATTTCATTGGTGCTTCATTCTAAAAGAAGTTATTTTTATTGACTACTATTAAAAATTGGTTTGTCTGTTTCTATTCACAGAACCACCATTCAAGATCTTGCATTTTGCAATAAGATTCGAATATTAGTGGAACCACACATTGATTACTCAAGTGACCAACAGTAAATCTTAATGTTCCCGTCAACATGTTCATCCAGTATCCATATGGATTATTATTATCCGTTTGACCTTAGCCGTTGTACAATGATCACATTTTAGTCTGTTTTTATCATAATCATTGCCTTTATTTATCAATGACTGTTTTGTCACAAATATATATATCTTCTATTTTTGTTATTGTTAAGAAAATCTTGTATGACAATGTTTGTGGTTTTAATATTACTCTTATCCGTCCATTAAATTTAAACATATAACTTGTTTTTCACTTCATTGTCAATTTTAATTTATTATAGCGCGTGTTATAGCAATAAATTGCACGTGTGTCTTGTGAAATTAAACTTTGAAATAAGCTTTACATTTTTACACTGTTGAGAATGTGAATTTTGTGGTTACCATAACTTTTGAATTCGACGATTGTCGTTTATTCGTTTATGTTACGGGTATCATTAATGTTTTTTTGTGTGTATATTTAGAGATTGACCTATTGTATAAACATCTGTCTAATACTAAAGACTGTATAATAACCTATAGATCTCTTTTGATTATTTGTGAAGCTGGGTTTCTGTCCATTTTACATTGAGAACTATGGTTCTAACTGCCTCTTCTTAGTTTAGAGTCAATTGTACAATGAAATTCCTCCGACTTGTCCATAATGTATTCGAGTAATTATTTTGGGTTTTTAAGAATCAATATTGGTTCTCATTGCATGCTATTAGGTTTGATTACAACACTTCCATAGAATTTATACAAAAGCAGCAAGGAAAGAAGTAAGACTCATAAGAAGAGATATTTTTGAACATGACATCTGAAATAATTTGATGAAGAATATAAAAAAGAATATAAAAGTGTATCATAGAATATCATTTGATTCACTATTCTAAAATTGTCAAGTAAAATGAAGTATGTTGCATACTTAATTGTCAAACAAAATTTACACAACTGTTATATTTTGAAGTATTTTAAAATCCTGCAGTACCAATTTTTTTAAGCCTATGATTATAATGATTTAAATATTCTAATTCATGCTTGATTGATAGATGATTGATATATAACGTCCAGTGGCAAATATTTCTTGCATATTCAGGACGACAAATTATCAAAATATTCAATAGGTAGACTAAGGTGAATTGTGTTAAACGACTTCTTCGAATTCGCATAAGAGGAACTGTTCTACCCCTTTGGAAATAATACATTTAAGTAAACATGTTTTGAGTGTACTGTCTTCCAACATAATACAATATTTGACAAAATTCAGTTTAGTACACGTGTTCGAACGTAACTTAAGCTTAAAAAAAGCCTTGTTCGCTTTCCAAATAAATACTGATTTAATTATAACATATCTTTATGAGATTTTTTATTCAATATTCATGTATCATTTGTGACACCCATCGTGTTACTCATGTAAGTACAGATCCGGTAATAAGTCTAATTCGGGACGTCAAAATCGAAGGAAAGGAGGATGGGATTGTGGTGATGACAACTGGAACAAATCCGTCGTCATCTGTGACATAGATATTCCATAACGGTCAACCAACTCATACGGTAAATTTACATACCCGTGCTAGAGTGTGTTTGTGGGATAGCATTTTAATACAAGTTCTATACATCATTTGATTAAGCGCTGTCCATAAGGCCACGTTTAACGTCATCGTTTTCGTCTCGGACGGATTTGGGGTTTTTTAAGGTTTTGGTTTATCATTTCTTATCTTTAAAGTGATACTCGCTCGGTTCTTTTCTGATTGCATCTGGTTTCGTTTTTTTCTACCTTAATAGTTGAAAATTGGATTATGTGTTTTTGTTTTATCAATGTCGAAATAATATGCCATACTATTCAGGAAATAAAATAATCGTAAGCATTGATTACGTACCAATTTCAGTAAAGGATTCCCCTAGTAAAGCAACGGAAAATTGAACTGTTTGAATCTAATATTGCCTACGGCATATTTTTTGAATTAATAGTTCAAATGTCATAATTCACCACATTATCACCTTAATACATATAATAAATACACTTAATGATTTTTTAACATTTTTTTCCCTTTGACTTATCAATTTCGATCTCCCACTCGGAATGTTATCTTTCTATCTATATTTCTTTCTTTTAAGTTCCACTTAAGTCCCATTACAAAGAGTCAATATTAAGTAATTTAAAGACAAGCAACACTTTAATGCTGCTGAAGAATGTTTATTTCCTTTTCTTTTTGTTTATTATTGAAATAAATATTGATCTCCGGACAACGAGTAGCTGGTACCACTAAAAAGCTGTTACTGCTGAATATCAAAATGCAACGTATGTCGACACTAGATTGATTATTGTTTGATTAATATGCAGAGACTTGCACTTTGGGGAATATAAAGAAGATGTGACATGATTGCCAATGTGGAAACTCTCCACTAGAGATACAATGACGTAGTACGTGTATATTTAATGTCTTTCAATAATACCGTTATAAACCAACTCACTAGTACAAAGAGAGATAATAAAAATGTTATAGCTGTTCAATACGGCCCTTTTGCTAGGCTGTTACATTGAATATAATAGCTCATAGTGAAGTAGCACACAGTTTGTTGCTGAGGCAAAAACACGATGTTTCTCACTTTTTAGGGAAAACATTGTTGGAAGCTTGTAAAATACTCGTCTTGTTTCTAATAACTTTGATACATGGGTGGATCGGCCAGAATCGCCTGAAAGGCGCACATCTTTGTGTATAAAGAGAAACAGGATTGTTTAATCACGTAAATAACAGAATGTATACGTGATATACACCACATCTTTCTATTTTTACATTTACAGTTACATTTACGGAGTGCAGTGCATCTATTGAATGGGGTTCCCCAAATAATTCAAGGGAAAAGGGGGGGTGGGGTGGTTGGTTGAGATAAAAGAAAAAAAAACACGAACCCCATGCTAGCTACAAAGTTTAAAGTTGTGATTAGATAATTTGTTGATTTATTCATTCAGGGGTATTGACCCCTTAATAAAATTTCACAGTACTATAAGGACAAGATTTTTCCAGTCGCGACTAATATTTTAACCTATATTTTATTGTCCATATCTATAACTATCTGAGTAGAAAATGTCAAAATCTGGGACATGACCTTGACCTGTGACATTTACCTAATTTACATTTTGTTGGACCAATGACCTCAAAGCAAAAGACCCTAGGTCTCGATAGCTTAGGTTTTATGAATTACATCAACATACCATTTATGTCGAACACAAAACGGGAAATATCGCTTATTGCATGTAACCGAATTGCTTCGTTTCAAACTGAACAGATCATGCTGCAGAAGTAACGAATATTTTTGAAAAAATCTTTTAGCGATATCTTTTATAATTTCCAAGGAATTGCGATAACAGTAAAACCAGTTTACGAGAAGATAACTCTCAAGTGAACGGTTAAAAATAGTGACTTCGAACAACAAAATAACGGTTCGATTCATATACCAAAAATCTAATGGACATGTTGCGAAACAAAAATGGCGGAAAAAATATTCAGAACAAAATCAAAAGATCTTTCCACAGAAAGGTGAAAAGACCTAATAATACATAAAATTGAAAAAATATATTCATTAATATTAAATATGTGTTCTGAATGGGTCTATGAATACCCATGTTTAACTTGAATTAAAATTATTGTGAATCGGCAGCCATGGGAACCAACTGTGTTTATACGATAAAGAGCTAACAATCAAGCGTACATTTCACGCCAATCGTTAACAAGATCATTACAAGAACCAAATAAGGCGTGAACAATTACAAAAGCTTTCGATGTACCCAACACTACATTTATTGAACGTATATGTTTTTGGTACCAAAATTTGATAATTTGTGACAATGTATATTTTCTAACACATATTTTTTTCCATATGCACATATTCATTTATTTATTATTAACATCTATAAATCGTTTTATCGCAAACATTTTGTTTTTTGAATATACATGTTGTATACTTATTTTTATGACAATGCATTTCTTTTTATACAGCTATATCGAGCTATATGATGATAAAACCGTAAATAAAATACTTAATAGATAATTTAGAAATATTCTTATCGTATTTGGCCTTGTAAAGCTACATGTATTATAACTCTATAAAGACAGTGGTGAAATCTTAATCTAACAAAACAATTTGATAAAAAAGTATCTTTATTTCGACATGTCTAACAGCTATCATAAAGTGATAATAAGAAATCTTACGAAAAGTAGTAGTATCAGTGATTCTAACTTAAAGGATTCAATATATGAATTACTAAACATGTGCATAAACATTTCTACTTTGAGAAACTGTATAAAAATAAAACAGGAAAAAAAACAGAGGTATGCCGTAATCCGTCTTAGAAACCCGAACGAAGTTTTTGAAGTATTAGACCGCGTAAAAAACCGGCGAAGCAGAAACTCCCTTGGATTCGATTTTCAGAGAATAGCTGATAAAGATGTAGACATTGACGCTGAAATGGAATTGCCCGGGAGATACTACCGAAAAGGACAACACATTGGCAAGGAAACTAGATAAATGGAATTCAAATCCGGTGGAGGAGATTATGTCAAAAAACATTTGAGAGAAGATGTTTCTAAGTATGTATGTGGGTATTTAAACGGAAGAACCAAAGGAACTCTATTCATTGGTGTGAATGGTAGGTCTTACACGCGCCGCTTCAAATCATTGGAAATTGTGATGATTGAGTTTTGATATTTACCTTCAATCGTGTTAAGAAATACGTTTTTTAAAGATCGCTTAACAAAGATATTCATGTCGACATTTCTTTTTTTAAACTGAGCTAATAGAGCTAATTGTTTCCTTTCTTAATTGTCGATATGTCTACATATTAAATGAATTTAAACTTATCCCAATTTAAAGAAATAATACATTAAACGGATAACAGAAAATACCAGAAAATGCTGATAATGACAAAGGACCATACCAACTGCCAACTCCCAAACACCCCCCCCCCCCCCCACCCCTAATCCCTTAAAAAAAATAGACGTACCGTTAAACAAAGACAATCTTGATATGGAGCAGGATCTTTATACCCTTCTGGATCACCCCAGGTTTTTGATGGGGTAAGTGTTGCGAAATCTTTAGCTATCTATGTTGTGTTTTATGTACTGTTGTTTTTCCTTTGGTCGTTTTTTCGTTTATTGCCCTCGTTCAAATAAACATAAAACAAAAAAAGAAAAAAATCAGAAAAAAATACTTTTCAAAGATCTAAAGTTTTATTATTAAAATGTGATCGTCAGTCAGTGTATGA